GTCCCTGACTTACAACGGTTCAACTTACAATTTTTCAACTTTATGATGTTACAAAAGAGATACACATTCAGTATGTCCCTTAACAATATTTCCAACTTGTGATGGGTTTATCTGGATGTAACCCATTGTAAGCTGAGGAGCATCTGTAGAGACAATTTTAATTTTTTTTTTTCTTTGAGACAGTCTCGTTCTGTCACCCAGGCAGGAGTGCAATGGCGCGATCTAGGCTCACTGCAACCTCTGCCTCCTAGGTTCAAGCGATTCTCCTGCCTCAGCCTCCTGAGTCGCTGGGATTACAGGTGCCCACCACCACGCCCAGCTAATTTTTATTTTTTAATATATTTTTAGTACAGACAGGGTTTCCCATGTTGGTCAGGCTGGTCTCAAACTCCTGACCTCAGGTGAGCTGCCGGCATCAGCCTCCCAAAGTGTTGGGATTACAGGCGTGAGCCATCATGCCTGGCCTTTTTTTAAATTGACACAGTCTTGCTCTGTTGCCCAGGCTAGAGTGCAATGGCGAGATCTCGGCTCACTGCAACCTCCGCCTCCTGGGTTCAAGTGATTCTCCTGCCTCTGCCTCCTCAGTAGCTGGGATTATAGGTGTGTGCCACCACGCCTGGTTAATTTTTGAATTTTTAGTAGAGATGGGGTTTTTGCCATATTGGCCAGGCTGGTCTTGAACTCCTGACCTTAGGTGATTCGCCTGCCTCAGTCTCCCAAAGTGTTGGGATTACAGGTGTGAGTCACTGCAGCTGGCCTAGGCAATTGTCTTTTAAATAGATTATATATATACATATTTAAAGACAGGGTCTTGCCATGTTGCCCAGGCTGGCCTTGAACCCCTATCAAGTGATTCTCCCAGCTTAATCTCCTGAGTAACTGGGACTACAGGCACTTTTAAAAATCAGAAAAAAACCCTGCCTTTGGTGTCCTCCCACATAGTGACCATTTCAGGTGCTTGTCATATCTTTGTGTATATGCACTTTCCATCTGGTGTCATTTTCCTTCTGCCAGAAAAGCTTCTTTTGGTAATTTTTGTAATTCTTTCAGCTTTGTATGTCTGAAAAGTCTTTATTTCACCTTCACTTTTGAAAGATATTTTCACTGGGTATAGAATTCCAGGTTGACATTCTTTTCTTACAAAACTAAATTTGGATAACTGTTTATTCAAGCCAGGCACGGTGGCTCATGCCTGTAATCTCAGCACTTTAGGAGGCTGAGGCAGGCAGATCACATGAGGTCGGGAGTTTGAGACCAGCCTGACCAACATAGAGAAACCCCGTCTCCACTAAAAATACAAAATTAGCTAGGTGTGGTGGCGCATGCCTGAAATCCCAGCTATTCGGGAGGCTGAGGCAGAAGAATTGCTTGAACCCGGGAGGTGGAAGTTGTGATGAGGCAAGATCGCGCCACCGCACTCCAGCCTGGGCAACAAGAGGGAAACTCTGTCTCAATAAATAAATAAATAAATAAATAAATAAGTTTACTCAAGTTATTTGCCCAACCCACAGGTGTTGTTCACTGTCTGCTTGCAGTTTCTAGTGAGAAGTCTTGCTGCCATTCTTTGTTCCTGTAAACACAAAGTGCCTTTTTTCTCTGGCTGCTTTTAAGATTTTTATTTTTCACTGGTTTGGAGGAATTTCATGATGTGCTTCATGTAATTTTCTCCATGTTTCTATTGGGGTTTATTGAGCTTCCTGGATCTGTGGCTTTATGTTTCCACCAAATTAGAAAATTTTACAGTCATTATTTTAATTATATTTATCTAGAGATGGAGTTTCGCTCTTACCGACCAGGCTGGAGTGCAGTGGCGCGATCTCAGCTCACTGCAACCTCTGCCTCCCAGGTTCAAGTGATTCTCCTGTCTTAGCCTCCCAAGTAGCTGGGATTATAGGCAACTGCCACCACACCTGGCTAATTTTTGTATTTTTAGTAGAGACGGCATTTCACCATGTTGGCCAGGCTGGTCTCCAACTCCTGACCTCAGGTGATCCGCCAGCATCAGCCTCCCACAGTGCTGACTAAGAATACACGCCCAGCCTACCATTTTTTTTTCCAAAAGTTGTCTCCACCCTGCTATGCCCCTGGTCCATGGTCTCCAGTTATAGGCACAGTGGGCTGCCTGAACTTGTCCCACAACTCAGAGGGGCTCTGCCATTTTCCCCATGTTTTTTCTGTTCCCTTTTGGATCGTTTATATTGCTATGGCTTGAAGTCCACTAATCTTTTGTTCTGCAATGTCTATTTTGGTTTTAATCTCATCAGTATATTTTCCATCTCAGACGTTGTATTTTTGTCTCTGGAAATGGTTTGGGCCATTTTTATGTCTTTCATTCCTTTTCTTAACATGCTCCTGTTTTCCTCTATCCTTCTTAATAATGGCCATTCTGATGTCCTTGTCTACTTAGTAGACAGAATTATTCTACCACCCGGTGTCATTTCTGGGTCTGTTTCTACAGACTAACTTTTCTTCTCATTGTGTGGTGTAGTTCCTGCTTCTTTGCAGGTTTTTTTTTTTTTTCTTTTTTTTGAGACGGAGTCTCGCTCTGTCGCCCAGGCTAGAGTGCAGTGGTGAGATCTTGGCTTACTGTAACCTCCACCTCCTGGGTTCAAGTGATCCTCCTGCCTCAGCCTCCCGAGTACCTGGGACTACAGGCACAAGCCACCATGCCTGGCTTATTTTTGTATTTTTAGAGATAGGGTTTTGCCATGTTGGCCAGGCTGTTCTCAAACTCCTAGCCTCAAGTGATCCACCCGCCTCAGCCTCCCACAGTGCTTGGATTACAGGCATGAGTTATTGACACCCGGCCTCATGTTTGTTCTAAAAAAAACAAAATGTTTCCCCCTTACTTTTGAGTTTTGTTCTGGATTCTATTAAAGTACTTGCAACCGTTTGGTCTTTTTGAGGCTTGACTTAAAGTTGTTAGGAAGGCACAGAGCAGTCTCTAGTCTAGGGCTAATCTAGCCTGAATATGGCATCAATATCCTTTTGAGTTCTCTACCCTGTTCTCCATGAATGATGTTTCTCCACACTTAGTGCTGGGAATGTGATTTGCTTCCTGCTTTCTTCCAATGGCTCTTTCCCCAGCCTCAGGCAGTTTCCCAACACACAGGAGCCATCAGTCCTCAGCAGGAGCCTTGTGGGGAACAACACTGAGGCAATTTCTACTCCAGTGTTCCAGCTGCCCTGGGCTCCTGGCGTTTGTTCCCTCTCTCAGGCACTGCTATCCTGCACTGGCTGCTGTCTGCTGTCTACAGATCTGTATCTGTATCTACATCTGGTCGTCTATGGGCCAGTTTTATTGCTCCACCACAGCTGGAAGACCAAGAAATATTTACAAACATATATGCCAGGTACTGCTCTAGGCAAAGTCCCATCCCTCATGGAAGCGACACCTCAGTTAGTAGAGAAAATAAGTACATTTGCATATTTGCTTAAATATGCATTACACCCAGTAAAGTTAGGTAGGGTGGGAGGGAGAGTGATGGAGGGGTTGTCCTACACATTAGGGCACTGGGATGCTTCTCTGAGCTGAATCCGGGGGAGCCTATGGCCGTCCAGAGGAAGAGCTCGCCAGCCAGAGGGAGTGAAGGGCGTGCAGGAGAAACATGCTGAGCATTCTCAGAACAGCAGGAAGGCCGGGCTGGGGCAGAGCAAGCCTTGGGACGGGGGAGGAGGGGTGAAGCCAGAGGCTGTGGGGCCACAGGCTTTTACTTTTAAAGACATGTTTAGCCACTGGAGTGTTGGAACAGGGGAGTGACAGATCTGGCTGCTGTATAAGGACAGACTGCCACGTGCGGGGCAGAAGCAGGGAGCCTGGAGGGCGCTATGTAGTGACCCCACAGGGGAGGGAGGCAGGCTGGCTGGAGCAGTGTGGTCCTGTGGGGCAGGGATGCAGCCAGAGGATATGAAGGGAAAAGCCGACAGGCCCGACGGGGCAGCGACAGGAGTAACAGAAATGAGGGCTTGGGTGGCAGTCTGTTGTGGACACCTGGAAGGAGTCAGCACATGGCTGACTGTGCTTGCGGCAGGCGGTCAAGGCCGTCCTCGGTGCAGGAAGCCCTCAGCCAGTCCTCTGCAATCCCCTTCTAAGTTGCCCCCTGGAATTTTACCATGCTGACCACCTCTCTGGGGGTCCCCTCTACCCGTGACATGGGAGTGCTATATCCTCAGCCCCAGGGCAGCAAATCCCACTCTGGGCCTGGCTCCAACCCACCACCTGGGCACCACTGACTTTTCTCTAAGAATCAGCATCATCTGCTCCTCCAACAGCTTCCCAGGGACAGCGAAGGCTCTTCTCAACTATCCCCGGCACACGATCCCACCCACCCTCTGCCCCAACCAACCTTTACTCTAGTCCAGAGCTTCTCCGAGGGGCTGTGGCTCGACTGCTCCTTCATCCCTGGAGGGGCTGGGACCCGCCTCAGTGGACTTGTGTGGAGACCAGCACTCAAGCCCTCTTCTGTCCTCCAGGCCACCCCGCCTCCTCTCCTGTCAACTCCTCTTCCTTCGAGGCCCCACACAAGCTACGCTGACTGCAGGGGGAGCACTGCTACGGCCATCTCCCTGCTAGAGTAAAGCTCCCAGAGGGCAGGGGCCTATCAATCACACAGGGTCTGACCACACAGACACCAAAAAAGTAAACTAGACACCAAGATGTGATGGATCAGGTGTGCATGACAGTGGCATCTGGGGATGGTGTGCGAGTATCACCTCTCTCCATGAGGGTCTAGTACACCGGCCGTGTACCCTGGAGCCAGACCTGGGTCCTTTCTCCCCATTACCAGCTGGGCAAGCTGGGGAGGAGCATGCTCTGGGCTGAGACTTCCCATCTGTAGCAGGGGGCGAGTGAGGGGCCTCACACAATGCAAGTGGGGTCTCTAGGAGCTGGTGGGTAGACAACAGGTGCAGCAGGCCCCGCCCACTGACTGTTCCTTTGGCCATCCTAGGTGGAGGGTCACAAACTCTACCCTCAGAAGTGCTGACAGACAAGAGTCCTCTTGTGCAAATATAAAGAGGTTTATTCATTCTGTCATTAGGATACAAAATAGAACATGTAAAAGGCCTTCCCACTGACCCCACAGTTCAGTGTGAACACCGAGCGCTCATCCAGGGAAGGCTGCCATGCACGGCGTGGCTCTCGGTGAAGGCAGCCGGCTTGAGCCAGCCTCAGGTCTCGAACATGGCGCAGCTGGTGCACAGCATTTTCTCATACATGTCACTGCAGCTGCGACAGCGTCAGGGAGGGGAGAGAAAAGCTGCTGTCAGGGGCTGTATTGTGTCCACCAGTCCCCACCATTCAAACGTCAAAGTCCTAACCCAGAACACTTCAGGACATGACCTTATCTGGAGACAGGATGACTGCCGGCAGAATCAGTCTAGATGATGGCACTGACGTAGGGGCCCTAAGGCAACACGACCAGCATCCTAAAAAGACTACCATGTGAAGAGAAGGACACAGAGAAGGAAGACATGAAGCTACAGGGAGCGGGCAGCTGTCTACAGGGAACACCAAAGATAACAGCAGACTCCAGGAGAGGTCAGGACAGGTTTCCCATCACAGCCCCAGAAGGAACCAGCCCTGCCAGCACCTTCCTCTCAGACTTCTGGTCTCCAAAGCCGTGTGGCAGTATCTCCCTGCTGTCTAAGCCACCTGGTCTGCGAACTCAGGTACAGCAGCCCTAGCTGATTCCCACTGCCAACCAATTCACATGGGGCCCAACCTGGGTTTCCAGTAGGATAGAAGCTCTCCAAAGAAACCTCCAGATGACCTGCCAGAATTCACCGAACCACAATGGTCTACACTGAAGCACATCAAACAGTGCTTTCTTCTGATGTATCAAGACTAAGGGTAGGGCTGGGCATGGTGGCTCACGCCTGTAACCTCAGCACCTTGGGAGGCCGAGGCCAGAGGATCACCTGAGGTCAAGAGTTTGAGACCAGCCTGGCCAACATGGTGAAACCCCATCTCTACTAAGAATACAAAAATTAGCCGGGCGTGCTGGTGCACGCCTGTAATCCTAGCTACTTGGGAGGCTGAGACAGGAAAATTGCTTGAACACAGGAGGCAGAGGTTGCAGTGAATCAAGATCACGCCACTGCACTCCAGCCTAGATGACAGAGCAAGACTCTGTCTCAGGGAAAAAAAAAAAGCTCTAAGGGTAAAGGTGAGAGAAACCAGCAAAACACAGGGAGAAAGTGATTAAGAGAGACGTTGCGAGGAAACAATACCGGCAATGGCTACCCCAAACACGATAGGACCATGGAGTCAACAAGGCAGCCAGAACTGCTTGCCACCCGGTGTTGCAGAGTTTGCCAATAGGACTGTGGGTGAGCCGTGAAGACAGCCCCTTCCCTGCCACCAGCGGCTAGCTGGAGAGCCCTGTAGAGGATGGGCAGGATGTCCTGCAGATGATTCCTAACCTGGATGGGGCGCATTACCCCACTCCTGCCCATGTTGAAGCCATGGGAGCCGACCACAGGCACGCGGCGCTTCTCCCTGGTGCTGCCCACCCCCTGCCTGGGGCTCGCCATCTCCAATGAGTCGGGCCTCTGCCCTGACTGAAGAAAGGCTCAAGAGAAAGGACTCGAGATGTAACATGTGGTTTCTATTTTAGATGGACAATTTCAGACACTGTTTGGACTAAGCTTGCTTTGGGTCTACAGAGCCAGTTCCACATGTGTCTGGATGAAGTCGTCTTTCTCAAGGGGCAGGGCAAACAGGCTCCACACTGTCCACTCCCACCCACCAGCTGAGTAGCCCCTGTGGTGAGAACGCCCCTCCCCACCTTAGGAGTAAGGACGGGATCCAGCCAGCTCCAGCAAACCCACCCACAAATGGGAGACCACGCAAACATTCCACTTCCTGCCTGAGAGGGTCTACAACCAAACAGCACGCATGACTGTGGCGAAGCTGCAGTGTGCACCTGTGTCACCAACCAGGGGCTTCTCAGACAGTGAGGAGGACCGGGAGGGGGGTGCTCAAAGGCCAGAGGAGGAGGAGGTGGGGGCGCTCAAAGACCAGAACAGGAAGCGGCTGAAGACAGGGACCAGAGCTGGATACACAGCAGGTCATCTGTGAGGTTCAGCTTTCCCTTAGAGAGGATTACTACCACTAAAGTTGGGCCAAGCATCTATTGCCACCATGTCCCATTAGGCAATGCCAGATGGCACTGCGTCAGGTGCCACACATGTGGGAGCTCTGGGCCCTTCCCAATATGGGTGAACCACCCGTCCCCCGTCACGGCTTGCTGGGGCTACGGGACCTCAGCAGCTCCAGGGACTGAAGTACTTACTCCACGAGGCCACACAGGGTACAGGCCACGGAGCCACAGCCCCAGCAGGTGCGCACACACCGCCCGCACAGGGCTCGCTCACACTGGCTGCAGACGGCCTTCCCATCTACGGCTCGCACACATGAGGAGCAGGCGATGGACACTATCCCGGATGGGTCTGTGAGGAAGAAACGCCATGCTGTCAGCCTGCAAGGAGACGGGAGTTTCCGGGACTGCTGGGCTACCTGCCTCCATGCATACCTGAGGGCAGAGGGCTCCGACCTGCCTACCCCATCCTCACCCACACTGGGTCCTTCTGACAACCCAGGAGCCTGGCACAGTGCACAGGACCCCGTTTCACTAGTGAGATCCAACGTGAGACATGCCTGCAGGTGACTCCAAGTTCAGTGCTCCTTCCCTCACCAGGTCCCTCTGCTACCTGGAGGCCAGTGCTGGAAGGATCACTCTTCCCCTGCTGCTTGTCAGAACTCCATGTGTCCCATCTGGGTCTCAAAGTGTGGCCCACTGCCTTACTGGTTAACCAAGAGGTGCCTGAGCTCCTCCCAGACACACCAACCAGCCTTGAGGTAGGGTCGGGGACTGCATTTCTAACCAGCAACACAGGTGATGCTCTGAGACCCACACTCCACACTGCACAGGGATGGGAGTGGCGTGTTTCCAGCCATGTGGGACCATCCCAGGGGGCTGCACGTGGAAAGCAGATGGGATACCCAGGGAGTCTCTGCTGTTTTTCAGGCCCAGTAGTTAGAAACTGTTTAATCACTTCCAGTCTTGAATGTGAGACCTCCTGATAACAGGAGCCTTCTGAGCCAGAAGGCCAAGCTCTAGGTCAGACTCCTGCTTGCCCAGGCAGGAAAAGCCTGAGCTTGCAAATGAAGAAAAATGCCTGTGCCACCACCTGCTCTCAGTGCCACAGCCACGAAGGGCTGCTGGTGCCACTCACCAGCTTCGGAGGCCTGCCCAAGGCTCCTGATCAGGCGGCCATCTGGTCCAATCAGCATCTGCCCACGTGCAGCCCTCGGCGCCCCTGTAGGGCCAGGCTTTGGGGACTCTGGCAGGTGAACGACGGCACAGCCTTCATCCCACACATGGTCCAGGTAGGCCTGGGCCCCGAGGAAGAGGAGTCGCTTGGTCTTCTCTGGGGGAAGACAAATCATTCTCACATCCTTCACTGTGTACCAACGAAGCCCCTGCATGGCCACTTAGTCTTTCCAGCCTCACATGAACCCCATCGTCCTCCTGTGTGCCCTCTGTCACCCAGTGACCCCAGCCTGTGTTGTGCCCTGGCGAGCTGGGTCCTGCTCTGCCTCTAAATTGAGAATGCTCGTGCCTCCCTTTCTTACCTGGCTTAGTTGTCATCTCCTCCAGGAAGGCTCCGGCCGTGCAGCCCCACCTGTGCCTGATGCAAGGGTTCCCCCTCCTATCACTCTGCTCACTTTCGGCAACTCACGGCCGGCCTTGCCTCACTGAGCTTGTTCCCCTTTCTCCCTTTTCTGCTTCCCCAGCACTTCCCACCTGGAAAGCAGGCTCTGTGGAATGCATAGAGGGAGCTCTGCTGTGGAGCACTAATTCACAAAGCTTGTCACTGCCAAGGAAGCAGCCAGAAGCTTGGAGCTGGGCCTGCAGCCTCTGGCCAGTGCACACCCCTTTACCTGCTACAGAGTTGCTGGCAAGACAAGCATCCCAGAACCTTCCAGATCTCGTTCTAGAATACCCACCCATCCCTGGGAGCAGTGATTTTCCATCAGGCCACAGTTCAGTCACCGGGGGAGGTTCAAAAAATCAGATGCCCAGGACCAGACCCAGAAATGCTTTGTTTTCGCTTTTTTTTTTCCCACCTCATTATAACACAGTAAAGGCAGAGATCCCAGAAACTCTATGTGGCTTTACATGAAATGGGCAGCAATAATAGTGGGTAACTCAAATGGAGTAGCTGATGCCAGCCCACAACACCCTGCACCTCTTCCTCCTGGCCCCCCACACCTCCCCCCATCTATAATGGGAAAGGAATGGGACAGACATGCGGTGAGGCTAATCCTTGTCCTCAAGGCCTTGTGGACAATTCGAGGTTAAGAGATCAGGGTGACAGCTGTGGCCTGGAATCTGGAAACTGTCACACAGTTCAAAGTAGGTGTCCTGCATTTACCTACTTTGTAACGAGTAAAGAGCCAGACTGAGCCAGGCCCCGTTTCCATCTTCCTCTTCTTGCCTGCACAGTGTTTGAATTTTTCAACTGTCCTGAGAGGGCAGACGCTAGCAGTCCAGCCACAGTTCCCATGGCATCATTCCTCTTAACTCCGCATGGCCCGGGATAGCACTCGCTTGCACAGCCCTAGCACACTGGAGACAGGGCACACAGGAACCTTGGGAGGGAGCGTCTTTCCTTCATCCCCAAGGCACAAGCGGCACCAGACAAATCACACCCCCCGGGTCATCCTCTAACTGCTCTACAGGTGCAGACCTTGTGTCCCAACCACTAGGCAAGGTAAGCTCCACTTTGTACCTGCCCCAGGGTATTCATCATCCCAGTCAGAGTGATGATCAATAAGACCAATACGCCTGAAATCCAAGGGAGAAAGCCAGAGAAGGCCTGGGAGCTCACTGCCCTCACATCCCACCCAGAACTGGACATTCCAGCCACACGGAGTCCTACTTCGCTCTCCTGCTGCCTGGCTTCTGCCTCGGCCTCTTCCTTCCCTGCCTCTGCCTGGCTAACTCCCACTCTCCCCCACAGGATTCGGCTCAGACTCTGTTCTTCCGAGAACCCTTCCATGCCATCCCTGCAGGTGCGACTGCACAAACCTGTGCCTGCCCGGATCACCTGGGGCGATTCCTTCTCCTGCTGGTCTCCCCAACTAGATTGGGGAGCTCCCGGGAGACGGGACACATCTGTCTTGCCCGCCTTTGGTCTCCCAGGACAGCCGCAGTGCCTGGCAGGGCGGCGCGCTCCATGACTACCTCTTGGGTCAGGAGGGGCACTCTTCGGGTTAACTCCATGCAGGACGCCCCGCTCCCCGACCTCTCCCAGGGCATCCTGCGCGGGACAGTCCTGAAGAAGCACCAGGCAGCTGCCGCTCATTGCGGGGCGGCGACTAACCGGGATCGTGGAAGAGGGCGCGGGGACTAAGGGCAGCGACCCTCTTCTTTCAGGTTGTTGGACAAGGTGGGTGAACGCTGGGGTCCTCACATCCCCCTCACTGACTCCAGCCCTGGGCGTGGCCAGCTTGTGTAACCGCGGCCAGAAAGCAGGGCCCTCGAGCCCCCCGCTCAGGCCTCAGAGGGGACACTGAGGCCCGGCCCGTTCCAGGCCCCGACGCAGTGGACCCTCGGCAGCCCGCCCGGCACTCACCGAAGACCTCCTGCGAGTAGCGCTCGGCACACACGCCGCGGCTCACCTCCCTCTGGCCCACGCGGACTTTAAGTTGTAGCGGGGCCGCGTCCGCGAAAGGGCAGCCCCGCTTGGGCATTGCCTCGGGGCCGGGAGCTACGCAGCTCCCCGGCCGCCAGCACCTTACCAACGACGCAGTGACGTCACAGCCGCGCGCCCATCCGCGGGCGTGAGCGGGTTTGAGGCCGAGGAAGCGACGCGGCGCGTGATAGGCTGCGGGTGAAGTGGGGGGCGGGGATCCTGCGCGGAGAGGCGCGGGATAGGCGGAGGACGAGATCGGGGGTGGGACTCATATGCCGGTGTACTGGATTCGACCGCGCGGGAAAGGCCAGGGGCCAGGTTGAGGATCAGGGTGGGCGGGTCTATGGGAGGGATTTGTGCGCATGCGGCTCAGGATAGGCGGGACGACAGTCTAGGGGCGGGGTTCCTATGCAGTGCGAAGCGAGGTAGGCTGGGAACCAGGTCAGGGGCGGCATTCGGCTGCGCGGGAAGAGCCAGCGGGTGAAGCCGAGGGTCAGGACGGTGCAGCAAGGGCGGTGAGTTTAAGGGGCGGAGCTTGTGCATCGGGGGCGGGCCTCGTTTGAGGATCGGCGTGGGATGCGTCAGGGCGACGTCGGGGCGGGTCTAGTTTGAGAAATGGCGCGGGATTGGCCAGGGGACGGCCGGGTCGGTGGCGGGATTCCTGTCAGCTTTTGTTTGATGCCTAAACAGTAGACACTGGTTATAGTTCCTCATTTACTTCTCCGAAGTTAAGGGGCAGTCCGCTTTTTCCTAGCTCTTTTTTCCTTTTAGAGACAGGGTCTCGCTGTGTCACCCAGACTGGAGTGCAGTGGTAGTCTCGGCTCACTGCAGCCTCCGCCTTCCGGGCTCAGGCGATCCTCCCTTCTCTGCCTCCCGGGTAGCTGGGACCGCAGGCGCGCGCCTTTGCGCTCCGCTTTTTGGTTTTGGGTAGGAACGGGGTTTCGCTCTGTTGCCTCGGGTGGTCTAGCTCCTCGCTGTGGCGGTCCCCGCCTTCCGGAAGTAAAGGTGTGTGGGGGCTGCGCTCCGAGGGCCGCGTGCGGCTGCCGAGCGCCCCCGGGCGGGGGTGTGTGGAAAATGTTCTTGCACAGCGGGGTCGTCTGACTTGGGGTCCCCAGGCCGCGCGGTGCACCCGCGTCGTCCCTTCTCCGGGGTTCTGCTCACCAGAGGCGGCTCTCCCCTGCCCGGCAGGTGCAGAACCGACGCGCCCTGTGGCGTGGGCTTCACCTTGGACTATGTTCTCCTCGCGGCTCGGTCGGCGCCGCCTCCCGTGTGAGGAGCTGACGCCTGGAACTCTGCAAACCCATCCCGCGTGACACCCGCGTCGCAGCTGCCCGCACCCCCTCGGAGGCAGCGCACTCCTCCCTGGCCACGGGTGGCCGAAGCCCCACCAGCCTCCAGGTCAGATGTCCTTTCTCCTTCTCCTGCCGCGGGGTTCCCCGCGGTGGGGGGCGGGATCCAGCATTCTCGGCTCTTCCTTGCCACTTCTCCGGCATAATGGAGAATTCCTTCTGCTTTAGGGAAATGACTTGAAAGTTGCTCAGTTGGAGTCACGTGTGACTAAACACACATTTGGTTTATCCCAGAAATAGATGAAATTCTCAGGAGGATTCTTTTCAATCTCATAGATCGTGGGGATTTCTAAAGATTTCCCTGTGTTCAGACTTCAAACTACCCTAGGGTCGCATCACCATCGTGGACAGATACAGAACCTCGGGCAGATTGTGGAGCGGGGCTGTCCCCCGGGCCGTATGCCGGTTCCTCAGAGGCTGCTGGGCAGGACTCTGCTGCTTCAACAAACTTACCTGGCTACCACCACCCGCTCACCCTTGAATGCCTTCCTGGGCGAAGCCACGAACCCTCCAGGGTTAAGCCCCAATTTTGGGGCTCACCTGCCCTGCGTCAGATGGATACTTAGCTTGTAAAGAAACTGGTAGCTGTCCAAAGTGCTAGGAAAAAGGAAAATTCATTAAACAAAATCATTGTCATAATTTTCCTCTAATCGGTCTTGAGGTTTCTTCTGGAGAGTGGCTGTAAACTTTGGCCCTGCCCTGACGGGGCTCTGGGGCCGGTGGGCGTGGGGTTAGTGTGCCCTCGTGGGATGCCTCCTGACCCTGGCTGATGGCCTCAGGCCTGCGTATCCAGCCGTGCTGGCATTCCTGTCACCAGCAGCTTGCTTCTAGGCCTTGGCAGGCAGCCTGTGGCTTTTGTCTGAGCCGTGATCAGTTCATTGCTATCATGATGGCCTCTCTGGGAGAGTCCTGACCAGGAGGAGAGTGAGGTTTGGGTGCGAGGGTCAGGTGAGAGCTGGAGGAGGCAGCGCAGCAGAACACATGAAACTGCAGAGCGGGTGTGTGACTCACGGGGCTGGGGAGAGGAGGCAGCGTTCCTCACAGGCCAGCGGGAAGGGGGAGCCTTGGGGAACAGGCAGGCCAGGCAGAGGATGGGGAGCGAGCCAGCGGCCTGTGCACCAAATCTGTATTGGGGTCCAGGGTGTTACCCAAGCGCATTTCCTGTGGGGTGTGGTTTCGAGCCGGCAGGCGTCAGCTTCATGGTATCTTGCTGTGACTGGGTGGTGGTCACTGTGGCCTGTCTGCACAGTCCGTGAGGGGTGTGGGGCTCAGGGGCCGAGTCCAGTAGGTTGTATCCAGGCGTCCTATAGGGAGCTGGTCACCAGCAAGCAGGTGTATAAAGCAGAGATCTGGGTGGACCACCCTGGGGAACTGGGAGGAGGTGAGGAGCTAGAAACTGTGTCAAGAATGACTGAGCCAGGCCGGGCGCGGTGGCTCAAGCCTGTAATCCCAGCACTTTGGGAGGTCGAGATGGGCGGATCACGAGGTCAGGAGATCGAGACCATCCTGGCTAACACGGTGAAACCCCGTCTCTACTAAAAAAATATAAAAAACTAGCCAGGCGAGGTGGCGAGCGCCTATAGTCCCAGCTACTCAGGAGGCCGAGGCAGGAAAATGGCGTAAACCCAGGAGGCGGAACTTGCAGTGAGCTGAGATCCGGCCACTGCACTCCATCCTGGGTGACAGAGCGAGACTCCGACTCAAAAAAAAAAAAAAAAAAAGAATGACTGAGCCCTGCTTCTGTACCAGAAAGTCCAACTTTTCTTCCTAATGGATGCCATTCTGAATAAATCTTATCATAAAACGATAATAATTCACTACAATTATCACTAATTTGTCTTTTACCCATGTATTCAACAGAGACCACTCTGACCCCATCTACACTGGGGCTGTGTTATTGATACAAAGTGGAGAGAGCCCCTTGCTATAACCACTCAGACCCTCCAAACACCTGCTACTGAAAAGAAGGGAGTGGAGACCCGAATGATTGGCCTGGCTGTCTGCACTAACCCACTGCTCAGTCGCCAGAGCCTGTTGGCTCTGGTCTGCGTGGAAGTGACTGAATTGGTGCTGGGGGAGAAGTATTTCCCCTCTGCGTTGGTGTCTTTTTACCCTGTGAAACGCCTGCCGGGATTCCATCCCGAGAAGGAGGAAAACGATGACAATTAGTGTTCTGGTGGAAGATTTAGCACCTACTACAAAACAGAGGTTTGAAAACCTATTTTGCAGCTCTCAAATTTCTATTTAAATGACTTGACTTTGACAGCCCAGTGCAGATACCAGGGCCCAGTGGAGAAAGCCCTCAGCCCCCTCTCCCCAGGAGCTTACCCCTGCCTCGAGGCTCCCTTTTTGTCTCTCTTGCTATGTTATGAAAGGAGAGCATCTGGGAGCACTCAAAGGCTGACTTCTGCCTGTGTGTCCCACCCCATCCCAAGGTGGCTGTGCTGCTGAGGGACTCAGGCCTGAGGAAGCAAGTGCCCGTGGCCTGGGGCAGGGCCATGCAGTTGCATGGCTTTCCTGTCGCTCAGGTCACTGAGGGCTGTTCTTGGCACTGTCTAGAAAAGTTGCTTGAATCCCTGGAGTCACAGTAATCTCATAACCCAGCCTATGCCCCCGGGCCCCTGCCGTGTGAGTAGAGCCTGCTGAACTTCCTGTGCTAGTGAGACCGGCTGACAGCCACAGTGCTCAAAAGTCAGGGTCTAACCCCACCAGTCTGGCCTTTCTGTAGGATTCCGTCTTTGAAAGGATACTGGAAGGGCAGTTGTTTTTCTAAACTTACTCTGAATTCTGAGCCACCGCAGCTGGCCTAAATATGTTTTTTTAAAATTAAACACACTGGTGCGGTGGCTCCCGCCTGTAATCCCAGCACTTTGGGAGGCTGAGGTGGGCGGATCATGAGGTCAGGCGTTCGAGACCAGCCTGGCTAACATGGTGAAACCCCATCCCTATTAAAAATACAAAAATTAGCTGGGCGTGGTGGCGGGTGCCTATAATCCCAGCTACTCGGGAGGCTGAGGGAGGATAATCGTTTGAACCTGGGAGGCAGAGGTTGTGGTGAGCTGAGATTGCGCCACTGCACTCCAGCCTGGGCGACAGAGCAAGACTGCATCTCAAAACAAAACAAAACAAATAAACAAAAAAACCACATTTAATTCACTTGGTCTCTTATATGGGCTTGTTCTATTTAATTTTCTGAGTAAACACAAGGCTTGGCTTTGTGACCCAAAAAACATGGGCAGCTCTTAGGAAGCTGCATCATCCAGACACCTGTCACAGTGAATTGTTGTCTTTCAGTGTTTAAAAGCAATAAAGACAAAGTCAAATCAAACATGTAATGACGGCTCCCATTCAGTGGCCATTGGAGATGTTTATTATGACACTGCTTCAGCTGGACATGCAACCATGTGACACTAATGTGTCACAGAAGGTCTCTGCTTTGAGCACTTTGGCTCATTTTAAATAGCAGAATTTTAAAAAATATACACAAGGCTGGCTTTCCAATGTTTAAAATCATTGTAGAAACCAACAGGTTGAACAGAAATAGAAAAATACAGAAAACGGCTTTCCTGCTTTGGTGTTGGTTGTGGCTGCCGAGGAACGTGATTGCTGCTGTTTCGCTGCCAGGTCTGTTGGGATCAGCTCAGTCTGCGACTAAAACAGCTGGATCATCGACTCTCTTGACTTGCCAACACCAACCCATTTGACTGAAAAAGCAGAAAAGACTGTTATGATATACACTGGAGGCAGAAAATTCAGAAAAAGTTTTCTTTAGCGTCGTATCTTTCTGTGTAGTTCATCTGGTAAAAAGGGCTATTTTCTCTCCAAATGGAGACAGTTCTAATTTTTAAGTTATAAAGGTAGTGCAAGCCGGGCACAGTGGCTCACGCCTGTAATCCCAGCACTTTGGGAGGCCGAGGCAGGTGGATCATGAGGTCAGGAGATCGAGACCAGCCTGGCTAATATGGTAAAACTCTGTCTCTACTTAAAAAAAAAAAAAAAAAAATTAGCTGGGTGTGTGACGGGCGCCTGTAGTCCCAGCTACTCGGGAGACAGGCATGAGAATCGCTTGAACCTGGGAAGCGGAGGTTGCAGTGAGCCAAGACCGTGCCACTCCACTCCAGCCTGGGTGATAGAGCCAGACTCGATCTCAAAAAGAAAAAAAAAAAAATCTATCTATCTATAATTAAAAAAAAAAAAAAAAAAAAAAGAAGGTTGCACATGTTGGGGGACTGATCCTCCCACAGCAGAAAACAGGAGCCTCTTCCCTTCTCCCTTGGAAATGGCAACCTTAGTTACTTAGTGACTCTCCCTGCAGACCCTTTCTCTGTAGGTGCAAACACCCCTGGGCTATGAGAGTAAACATACGACACACTCATATGGCTGGCATGTGACCCATCTGTTGTTCTGGATGTGGAGAGGCAGGGGCTCCTGGCAAGGTCACACCCACACCCTGGCCACAGGAGCCGCGCTGCCCCAGCTCTGAGTCCTCCTCCCCTCCTGCCATCCAATATATTCACTTGGTGACCACACTTGGTTTTCTTATTGCTCACCAAGCCCTGCGCTGGGATGTGGGCCCTTTGGGGCATCCAGGGTGCAGGGAGGGTGGCTGGGGATGCAGGGCACCCACCTGCAACTCCCACGTGATTCTCCACAAAGCGGATGTAGTTCTGGGCCTGCGGGGGCAGGTCCTCCCACCTCCTGGCGCCTGTGGTGTCTGCTTTCCAGCCAGGCAGCGTTTCATATTCGACTTCGACCTTCTGAAGCATCTCCTGGTTAGCTGGGGGAAGCACACAGGAGATGAGTGGGGCCCACAGACCTCTCTCTTATCACCAGGGAAGCAAATATTTGGTGACACGGCCACCTCCATCCAGGGCCTCCTTGCTCAGGGACTCAGCAATGAGGAAGGCAGCAAGTGGGCACGTGGCCCAGTTTGATTTTCTCAGTGTTGGGTGGTGAGCAGGGGACAGCAGTGGGGCTCAGACACTGACTACATGCCTTCCAGACCAGAGGGACATGACACATATGTGCTACCCACTCTGCTAGAACCTCCACTGTGACATCAGCTGAGGCACTCCAAGCCTTGGCTTGGAAATTCTAAGACTCTAGAATCCTGAAGCACTAAGGGATCCTGAAGCATCTATATCCTCCCACCCCAAGAACATCAGCTCCCAGAGGGCAGGGACCCCCGCTCTGTGCAGGACTCTGTGGCTCATGGTAGAAGACGACCACCCTTACAGATGGAAGATGCTGGAAAACAGGTTCTCGCTGCAAATGTGTTTGAGCCTTGGAGCCAGGCGGTGTTTGCATGTCCTTCTGGGACCCTGGACCACCATGAGGAGACCTTGCAGGCCTCAGCAGTGCATCCTCTCAAAGGTCAAGGGTCAGGAGGGTCAGGGACACTGCCTGCAAGGACACACACGGCTCCTGTGGCCAGGTGGCCCTCTGTGGTCTACACAGATCTGCTGAATGGAGACCAGCCAGGGGCAGCTCACCCAGGGCCACCGGGGAGGAAGCCATTGTGGGGGTCAGAACGTGACCCTGGACTGAGGTTGAGGGGGCACGTCCAGATACACACGAAACTGTGAAACCCAGGAAAATGGCATCTCCTTCATGCTTTCCAGAAGAAGGGGTACACAGGAGCAGAGATCCCAGTTAGGTCTTAAAAATCTCACCACAAAGCATATTTTCTCAGATGAAATAGTCATCCTGTACATCTGCATAGAGCTTTAGGTTTTCCAGAACCGACTGCATCCACTAACTCCTGTGTGCCTCCCGTGGCTCCCTGCAGGTGGGCCTTTTCCCCAAGGCAGCTGAAGGACCCCCAGGGTCCCAGGCGCGTAGTCTGTCCCCCTTGCCATTCCCACAGCACTGGAAGGCGCCTGCAGCCACCCCTGCCCGGCCAGGCCTCCCGGGGAACATTGTGGGGAGAAACCCATGAGAGGCGAAAGCCATGATGGAGGCTGGTCCCTGGAGACAAGCTGCTTGCCCTGTGTCCTGTGAATGTGGGAACTCTCCCCTCTCTGAGAAGTCACAGGTCCCATCTATTCCAATACCCATGAAACGGCCCAACGGGCAGAACGGCTGCCCCACTTCACATACCTGGGAAATAGGGAATCCTCTTTCCGTTCAGCTTGTACGAGATGCCGACTTTAATCTCACCCAGTACGTCCAGGATGTCCAGCTTCGTCAGGGCTAGCCTGTGGAAAGCCAAGGGGCCAGGCAAACCCACGAAGTGGTCAGCAATGCTGAGGTTTCTTCCATTTGCTTTTCACCTCTCACTTCTGTTATTTATAGCAGGGGTCCCCAGTCCCTGGGCTGCGGACCAGTACTTGGTGGTGGCCTGTTAGGAACTGGGCTGCAGAGCAGATGAGTGGCAGGCAAGCTAACACTACAGCCTGAGCCCTAGCACACGGTGAGGCTGGCGCCATGAACCCTGCGTTGCACATAAGGAAAGTGAGGGTCAGGGACCCCAGATGCCACACCGTCAGCTACTAGGTTCCTCTGCTTCCTGTTGCCAGGTTGGCTCTACCCACCCAGGAGGGGTCTGGTTAATTCTTGAGGAATTTTGGCTGATGCTGTCAACCCTGGTGGAAGATGTGCGACTCACAGCCTTGGCCTGTCTGACTGAGCTGGAGAGGAAGCCGTGAGCCCAGCCATCACGCAAAGCCTCTTTCTGATCCCTGGGAGACAGCCTGAACAGCCGGGGAGAGAGCCTGAACAGCTGGGCAGCCTGGGCCAGTCTGTGAGGAGCAGAGGGGCCTGCAGAGTGGACGCCTCGACAGGCCGGCACCAGTGCTTCTGTCCTCCTGGCAGGATGACGGTGCATCCTTTCGTCCTGGGGACTTCCAGTCTCCACATGAAGCATTTTAACCTTTTACAAGTGCCGGAACGCCCTCATCCTTCACGGCATCAGCCCTGGGGTGGGAGTTTGTGCTCCCAGGGCTGGCTGCAGCACACCCTGCACAGGCCTCCATACCGCTAACCCCTGGGCCGTGCTTTGTGGAAGGGTCGAGATCAGTGGGAAACCTTGTCCAAGGAGACTTGGTGGCCCTCAGCCCCTGCGTCAAGTGCTGCTTGCCTCTGCAGGTGTCGGGAGTCAGGGACGGTCCCAGTGGGGATGGCAGCAGCATGGGTTGCTTACGCAGTGAATCCATTGACCATGTGAGCATATCTCAGAATCATCAGGTCGAGCCAGCCACAGCGCCTCTTCCTGCCTGTGGTCACCCCCCACTCGTGGCCGCGGGTCTGCAGCAGGTCTCCAATCTCCTACATGAGAACAGGGCAGATGTCACGTGGTCTGTGGTGGGGGCCTTGTGCGGCCTGGCCCTGCTGCTCCCCCACCTCCCCCTTCCCACACGCAGATCTCAGAATCCCTTAGGCTGCCCCGCCTCCGCCGACAGTCCTTACGTCCAGCTCCCCCACATCCCCATGTCCATGGTAAGCCTGTCCGGCAGCTGAGTGAGGCTCACAACGGGCAGGGCCTGGCCCACAGTGCCGCGTGAGCCGGTGAACACTCTTCCTGAACACACCAGACCACTAGGCTTTGTGAGCTGGGGAAGGCACCGGCAGCCTTGCCATCTTCCCCTCCTGCCTTGGGCAGCTGGGGGAGGTGGGCCTGGCCCTGCAGCTTGGCTTTGGGGGTCAGGGGTGTGTGTATCTCCTAACACCTATCCCTGCACCCTCTCAAGCCTTTCTGGAGAGCGTCCGCCCCTCCCTGTGTTGGCTCCCCCAGCACCTGCCCTTCCTCCTGCTCAGGCACAAGGGCCATGTCCTTGCCCTACCAAGGGTCACAGGTTGAGGCTGAGAGAGGAAGGCTGGGGCCTCCTGAGGATTCTGGGGCCACAGCAGCTTCCAGAAACCTTCCTGAGGCTGGAGAGCTGGGTGGGGTTGTGGGGGCTGGCTTTCAGCCCCAATTCTAGCTTGGTTGTGACAGAGTACCGCCCCTAACCTGGGGACAAGGCCGAGGGAAGGTGCTTAGTGTCCTCCCTGAGCCAAGGTGAGTCCACCAGCTACCCCAAATGAGGGTGTCCTGAGGAGCTGCAAGGCGCCCCCACTTGCCTGTGGGCCTCACACTCCGAGGGGAGTGAAGTCATGTGTCCATGTGTCCATGTGCACACCCTGTGTGAGCTCCTGTGCTGCGGCCGTGGGAATAGGCCCACCCCAGTGGCTCTTACTAAGCCCCACCCTGGCCTGCACAGCAGGAAGGGCCCTGGTAGGAGATGGGGAAGAGGTACAGGCAGGGTCCCCACAGCCCCCACCCTGGCACTGCTCACCCCACCCCTGGCACCGCTGCCAGGCCTCCCTGTCCTCCCATGGGGTGCTGAGGGCCTGGGGACTCACGTTGATCTGTTCAGTGGGGAAGGCCCCGATGCCCACGCGTGTGGTGTAGGCCTTCACCACACCATACACGTCACCTATGTTCTGCGGGGGAATGCCCAGGCCTGTGCACACGCCGCCCACAGTGCAGTTGGATGAAGTCACAAAGGGGTAGGTCCCTGCAAGACAGAGCAGGTTAGGGGGCTACCTGTCATCCCCTGTAGATTACTCCACCCAGCCTAAGAGGCCTTCTCAGTAAAGGGCAGCGGGCAGTTCAGACCATGGGGGGTCCCCTCCGTGGGGGTCGCTAGCCTGTCCTGTCCTGGGGGAGTGGCTGAATGGGTGCTGTGTGCTGGGCTGTGTGGCTCACATAAGAGTCTGGGGTGAGGGGAGGGAGAAAGTTGCCCACAGCATGGCCTGAGGTGGCCAGGCCACCTTGGGGGTGAGGGTAAGCTGGTGCGCCCGTGGGGGTGAGGAGAGGATATGTCTATACAGACCGTCGGAAGGGCTGGCTCTGACCCACCTTGCCAGGCTCCCTGGCCCCACCCCTGACCTTGTCACCTTGTCACCCTGTTCTTTCATCTCTAGCCCAGCCCTTTCTCCTCTCTCCTCCCTTGCTGACAATAGGAACACTAAGGACATGAGGATCATTTCCATGGGCATGGATGGCACTGTGGCCTTGGAAAGCGGGTCTGCCCCTCCCTCCCCCATCTGTTCCCACAGCTCTCCACAGCTGGGTCTTCCCTGGCAGGCACGAAAGGTCGCTGGCACGCACATCCTCCCGGACATACCGAAGTCAATGTCGAGGAGGGCGGCGTTGGCACCCTCCACCAGGATCTTCTTGGGGGGGCCGTGGAGTGCCTCATACATAAAGTAAACACCATCTCGGACCATGGGTCTGATCCGCTCAGCAAAGCCCTGCAAGGAAGGACCAAGCAGCAGAGTGAGCCTGTGACCTGGGGCAGAGGAGTCCTGCGTCCCCAAGAAGGTTGGCCAGCCCATAACAATGCCTAATAACGGGTGTGCCCCAAGGGTGTTCAACGAGCACCAGGTAGGACAGCCAGCCTCCCTGGAGGGGCACTTCGCAGCCCCCACACTGCGGCCCCGGCTTCACCTTGAGCCTTTTGAGTTGGCCTTCAATGTCTATTTCCAGGGTGGGGAACATCGACTGGTGCTGGTGGGCCAGGTTCTTGAATCTGCACAAGGGACAGTCATTGTCACCCCGTCACGGTCCACGCTGGTCCTCAGGGCCCTCCCCACTAGCCACAGTCCCTTCTGGCAACCTCTCCCCATCCTCTCCTGGGACTGCAGATGACTCAGGTACCTGGAGGAAAACTCATCGAAATCTGACAGGAGGTCGCAGATGCGGAGGCCCGTCCGGGCAGCTTTGGAAGAGTAGGTGGGTCCGATTCCCTTCTTGGTGGTGCCTATACTGAAAGATGAGGAGGGGGTGCCCATGAGAACCCAGGAGCCCCAAGGAGCTCAGGCATCCCACTGAGGCCATGACCCCCGCCGGCTCATGACTCCAGTGCTCACCATTGCCGCCTGTGTCTGGCTGAGCTGTGAGTGTGTGCAGTGTGGGTGTACGCACTCGCATGGATGTATGTACTGGTATGGTGTGTGCCTGTGTGTGGATGTGTGCACACGGAGTGTGTGCACGTGTATGTGTGTATGTAGGTGTGGCTGTGTGTACTTTTGTGCATTTGCGTGGGTGTGTGAGCTTGTGCGGTGCGTGCACATGTGCATACCTGTGCGAGCATGCGTGGGCGTGTGGTGTGTATGTGAGAGCACGAGTGTGTGCCCTTGCCTGTGTGAGAGTGTAAGTGGGTGTGTGATCACCTCTCTGAGGCAGGACACTCATCTGCTTCACTCCTGTGTCCTTGGCACATCTGAGGTTCTACTAAACTTTTTTAGTGTTCCTCTTGTCCTCCCTGGGGCCTGTGTGGAGTCAGGAAAGGTGGTGGGTGTGACAGGCTACGGTAGGGCTTATGCACTCCTGTGGGGGCTGCGTGGCAGTGACAGCCAGCAAGGACAGTGTGCAACCCCAGAGAGAGACGGGCTGGCTCGTCCAGGGGTTGGGTGATGCACTGTGGAATTCTGACAGGTGCCATTCTCCAGGGGCTTTGAGTGGGTTGAGGTACCCTCCTCATGCCCAGGACCAGACACACCCCACAGTCTACCAGCTTGCAGGCCCAGAAGACTCCCTGAGGGTGAGAGTGTCCCGGCAGACTTACTTCTTCCCCTCTTGTGCCTGGCGCTGCACTTCCTGAAGTCCATCGACAGCCTGGTGAAAATCGAACACTGTCGGGTGGGCCAGGTGAGGGCACCAGGGAACGGGAGAGAAGCAGAGGACAGATGCTTACACATGGAACTCACCTCCTGCTGGCCTGAGTCTCCTGGGAAGGGGGTGGTCGAGATTTCAAAGAGGACAAACTGGGGTGTGACCATGAGTGTCTGGGGCTCAGTTTCCCCATCTGCAAATGGGCTAGGGATCCCTGACCCAGCTCCCACCTTGAAGCTCTTTAAAAAGGATAACGTACAAGCTAACGGAGCCATGTGGAACAAGAAGGCCTTGGGGACTTCCCTGATCTTGGTGGCCGTGGAGGAGCAGGGCCGGCTGGCAATGGTGGGGGCAGGAGGGGCTGTTCCCTGTACCCCAGTGGGAAACGTACCAAGGTGGGCTCTGTCAGAAATGATGAGCCTCTTCTCCCAGTCCTTCAGGCCTGCGGGGACACGGCACGCAGGTGGGTCAGTGTTCACTGCAGCTCACATGTGAGAGGCCAAAGCTGGGCTAGCTCGCCCGGCTCCCATCCGGGTAAGGCATGTGGGGGCTGACAAGGCCACCTCTGTTGCACAGCAAGCAGCAGGCCCGCCCCTCGTTGCCTGCTCCCCAGCTGAGGCTCCCGGACCCTCACTCCACCCCCCGCCAGGATGCCCACTCTCATGCCTGCAGCCTTCACCCCTCCGGGCTGGGGAGCCGGAGCTGGTGTGAGTGCCTGGCCTTCCTCCCTACCTGCAGCCACTCTGAAGGTGACCTGCCCCCTCAGGGCCTCAGTCTGGGTACCCCCTGGTGCCCATGTCCCCAGAATCACATTCTCCTTGCTCTTTTCACACCCATCCCGCCCTTAGTGTGAGACTGGAGCTCAGCGTCCTCCCAGACCCACTCAGGCTGCTGTCTGTCCCTACCCACACTAGGTCTGCCTGGCCCACACCCCCAGCTGGTGGGTCTCGCTCACTGCCTGTAGGCCTCTGTGTGCCTGGCCAGATGCTCCTCAGAGCTCCCAGGAGCCACATCCTTCCCTGCAGGCATAATTAGCCCAGCAGTCCCCACTTCCCACTGGGTGTCTGGTCCAGGTCCCTGGCTCCTTCCCAGACTTCCTGACCTGAGTCTGCAGGTGCTACCTGGCCCTGTGATGCCGAGGCTGCCAGCGTCTGAGGCCTCTGGGTTGCCTGGCTCACTCATTTTCTGCACAGGTAGAGCCAGTGATGAGCTGAGCCAACTGTGTTGGGAACCCACCCCCGCGAGTCCCCTCCGCGGGAGAAACCCTCAGAGAGGCTCCAGCCAACACAACCTCTCAGGGCACCGTGTCTGGGACAGGGCAAGTCTGCAGGAGCTTGGACTTACCTTTCTTTTCATTCTTCTCTGCTTCCTCAAACAAGCCCGGCAAGTGGATGACCACCCCGTTGCCTGCATGAGAGACAGAGGCATGAGACAAGAGTTGTGTCCCAGACATTGGAAAACGTACATTAAGAACAGCATGAAGTGAATGGGTACAGTGGCTCATGCCTGTAATCCTGGCACTTTGGGAGGCTGAGGCAGGAGGATCCCTTGAGGTCAGGAGTTCAAAACCAGCCTGGCCCACATGGTGAAACCCCGTCTCTACTAAAAATACAAAAAAAAATCTGGGCATGGTAGTGCGTTCCTGTAATCCCAGCTACTGGGGAGGCTGAGGCAGGAGAATCACTTGAACCTGGGAGGCAGAGGTTGCAGTGAGCTGAGATCCTGCCCCTGAACTCTGGATGACAGAGTGAGACTGTCTCAAAAAGCAAGCAAGCAAACAAACAAAAACAACCCAGCATGAAATGGGCACACCTATGTTCACAGCAGCATTATTCACAGTAGCCAAGAGCCGTCCACTGACAGATGAATGGATAAGCAGAACATTGTCTATGCATATGATGGAAAAGTATTCAGCCTGAAAACAGGAAGGAAATTCCAACACAGGCTGCAACGGGGAGGGGCCTGGAAGACATGACGCCGAGTGAAATAAGGCAGTTACAAACGGACACAGACAGGATGATTCCGCTTATATGAGGCCCCTGGAAGAGTCAAATTCAGAGATAGAAAGTAGAATGGGAGGCACCGGGGGCTGGGAGAGGGAGACTGGGGAGTTGTTTGATGTTTCAGCATTTCCGTGTGTGAAGATAAGAAAGTTCTGGAGGTGGTTGGTGGTGATGGTTGCAAAACAATCACATTCTTTGGTATTTAAGGAGCTGAAAATGGATGTCCCCGCAGAAACCTGCACGTGGACGTTTAGAAGCTCTCTTCATAATCGCCGGAACTCGGCAGCAGTCAAGAGGCCCGACAGTAAACAAAAGGAGAAGTCAGCGGTGGTCCCTCCAGACAGTGGAGTGTTATTCAACACTGAAAACAAATGAGCTATCAAGCCGTGAAAAGAAGTAGATGAAAGTTAAATGCATATTACTGAGTGGAAGAAGCCAATCTGAAAAGGCAACATACTGTGCAATTCCAACTCCAAGATTCTGAAAAAGGCAAAACTACAGAGACGGCTGAGTGGCTGCCGAGGGTTGAGGAGGGAGAGATGAACGGGGTGAGCTCGGAGGCTTTTAGGACAGTGAAAAAAGTCTGTATGATACTCTGGTGGCAGAGACACAGCATACATTTGTCCAAACTGGCAGAATGTACAGCACCAAGTGTGAACCCTAAGGTGACTGTGGACGCTGGGTGATGCTGATGTGTCAGTGCAGGTCCATCGATGGTAACAAATGCACCACTCTGGTGGGGCATGGCGGCTCTTGCCTATAATCCCAACATTTTGCGATGCTGAGGCAGGAGGATCACTTGAGGCCAGGAGTTGGAGACCAGCCTGGGCAACATAGCAAGATTCCCATTTCTTTAAAAAAAATGCATATATGTACTAGCTGAGTGTGGTGGCACAAGCCTGTAGTCCTGGCTACTTGGGAGACTGAGGCAGGAGGATCCCTTGGGCCCAGTGGGTTGAGGCTGCAGTGAGCTAGGACTGTGCCATCGCACTCCAGCCTGAGTGACACAGCAAGACCCTGTCTCAAAACCAAAAGCAAACACAAATATACCCTGAGCTCTAAACCCTTTGCTTGAAGACGAAGCCCTTCAGGAATCCCTGCTGCCTCTCCAAGGAGCCCCTTTCCCTTTGCCAGTTCCCGCTGAGGCTGGCCATGGCACAGGCTCAGCTGAGGGAGGCAGGACTTCAGTCCAGACAAGAGTGACCTGGAGTCTACGCAAGCCACGGTGAGCACAAAAGGTCACCCAAATGCCATGGCATCCTAAAATAAACATGTGGCAGAGGCCCGGAGTGTCGCAAGCTGAGGGTGTCTGTGTGAGCCCTGGCACGTCCTGCCACTTGCTAAGCGGTGCCTCCTTGGCCTTGTTTCCCACCATGTGGGGCCCAGGGCTGGGCAGGACAGGGCTGGCAGCTGGAGAAGGCTTCCTGCAGCACAACCGGGAGTGGCCAGCCAGCGCTACTGCCCAGTCTGCCAGGGCCAGGGGCTCCCGCGACATGGTGGGCAGGCCACCTCACTGCTTAGGGCCTCCCTGCTGTGAACTAGGGACCACCCCCACACTGTCCTAACTCTACTGCTGGCAGGGCCAGGGACTGCGTCTGCACCCAAGGGGACAGTCTTGGGTGAGTCATTCCAGCTCAGCCCCTGACCACACATGGCCCCTGTGGCAGCCACCTCTGCTCTATCTTCCTCCCACTGCTCACATTCAACGGGCTCAGGCCCATGCCATCTGCTGGACACACACGTGAGGCACCCGAGCCCCCACTTCCTGACAGGCTGAGAAGGGGTCAGATACGTCAGAAGGATGGCCTTGCTGTAGTCTGGAAAGAGCTGGAAGGGAAAGTACAAGAAGGGGCCTGGCTGGCTTGGCCACTGGGATCAGGAAAAGCTTCTCTGAGCAAGGGGGTCTTGGGCTGAGAGCTGAGGCCAGGGTGCACAGTGCAGGCTTCTGACCGAGAGAGGGAGGGAAAGAGAGCCACGGAACCCTGGGGGCAGAGGTGGCTCGCCTCTTGGAGCACTGAGTGGTCACCTGTGGCTGCAGTGAGGTCCACAGGGAGGGGCTGTGTCCGGACCCAGGAGGGGGCAGGTGATATAGAAGGAGGTCCCTCTGCAGCACAGACTGGGAAGGGGCTGGAACTAGGGCTGCCAGGTGGCCACAGCAGCCCAGGCAAGAGGACGGCCATATGGCCCAGCAGGGCCAGGAAGGGCATGGCCTTGTCCACATAGCCTGGTCGCCACGCAGCGAGAAGCCAGGCCTGTCACAAGCACATGCTCACTCACAGGTATGCACATGCAGTCACAGGCACGTGGGCGTGTGGTCTCGCAGAGTGTGTGCACGCGAGAGATCAGGGATCAGGCACTCCTGCTCCTGCGAGTGGATGTGACTCTGCCCTCCTCCCATCAGCCTGGTGTCCTCTCAGCTGTGTTCCCAGCCCAGGCCTGGGCTGTGCAGGTTTCTATGCACCAGTGCCTGGTGGGGCAGGTGGAGGCCAGGGCCCAGCCTCCTGCTAGAGCCGCCATCACCAGGCTCTGGTACCCTGTACCCCTGCGAGTGGGGCTCCTGGGCTGGCTGACACCCCCTTTCCTGCTCACACACAGGTGGGGGCAGGGTACTCACCAATGAAGGACACAGCCTTGGTGTTGATGATGCCACTGGGCAGTAGGTGGAAGTCATACTCCTTCCCATCCACCACCACCGTGTGGCCGGCGTTGTTGCCCCCCTGGAACAGAAACCTGGCTGAGCTGGAGGCACTTGGGTACTGAGGACCCCCCGGACACGGACTGACCCACAGACGGCTTCCTCTGTCCCTGCAGGGCACTGCTGTTGGATTTTGGGCTGCCTGGTTCGGTGGCCAGCTCTGCTGCGTCTGTGCAGGACTGGGATGTGAGCATCCTGCACCATGCAAGGAGTGCAGCCGTTTGGTCAGGGGCCTATGTTAGAAGGGTCTGGCCCAGGCTGGTGCCAACACCTCCAGGTGGCCTGGTACAGGTCTCTGCAGCCACAGGCCCCCCTCTGGAGCTCGCTCCTTTCATGCAGGAGTGAGGGCCCAACCCTTCCGCAGAGCTGAATTCAGCTCCCGCCACAGCCCAACCTGCCCTCACCCTCTTTAGCAGGGACCCTTCCCTTTGAGCAGGCACCTCCCACCTAAAATGAAAAGGAAAAAGCTGTTCTGAGCCAGCCCTGTTCTGGGGAACACCCAGCCACAGGCTCCCCTCTCTGGGGGGACTCCTGCTGCAGGTGGGGAGAGGGCCTGGGACTAGGATGTGCAGACTCAATCCCCTCCTGCCAGGAGATAGCCACATGACACAAGCAGACTGTGCCACTGCCCTGGACGCCACTGCCTTAGGCTCCCAAAGGGCCTCTTCTGCCAGTGGAAGCTGGAGATAAAGTAGGGACCCTCTCCAGGTGGGGCAACAACCAAAGCCCTCCTGCCTTTTGCTTGGCTCTGCTTAGCAGGGCACAGGTCCAGTGGGTGTCCGCTGCTGCCCCCACCCTCGGCTCCTGCAGGCCAGGTGGGCTGGTGGCATGACGATTGCAGGGACACTCCAGCCCCAAGGCACAGCTCATAGGGCTCCCCTACATGTAGGCAGGAGTCCCCACTTCACAGCTGAGGAAGAGGCAGCATCTCTGATGCCCCATGATGGCCCATTGCCCCTGAGGCCCCCACCAATGGCAAGGGGTGTCCCTCCAGCACCTTTTGGTCTTCATGCCACCATAAGACACCCATGTAGGCCAGGTGTGGCAGAGCCTGGAGGGAGCCCCAGAAGCTCTCTGCCCCACGAGAGAAGGCCAGGTCTCCAGCTCCACTTCCAGCCAGCCACGGGATGGCATGGGGGACCCTCCCTGTTGCCCTCTCTCCTTGAGCTCCACCTGGAAGGTGAGCAGGGTCCCAGTGGGGTGTTGGGGGACACACACAGATACCCTGCCCCACAGACTGGTCTGGCCTTTCCTTCACTACTGCCCTTTTGGGGCCCACTCTGTCCCCAGGACTCCAGAGCCCAGATCCAGCCCCACCTTCCTGCCTCACCTCCCAGCAGAAAAGCCCTCAACTTGTCTGCCCATGAGGGATCCTCCCAGCCACACCGCACTGCTCTCTGCCCAGCAGAGGGGTCTCAGCTCCCCTCCCACCCTCACATGCCTGGCAGTGGGGTGTCCCACATAGTCTTTCCTGCCTGCCTAGGCAGGACCCTCAGTGATGGCGGCCCCGTCCCTCTGCACTAGCTCCTCATGATGCATCTGGACAAGATTTACATGGAAAGAGCCCTGGCGGCTGGTGCCAGGGCAACCCTGGGGACAGAGGGAGGGCAGATCCGGAGATGCCAGGCAGGGCGCTCGCCCTCCTGGGACCTAACGTCACATATCGGGAGATTAGGCAGCACTCAGAGCCCTGAAGCTCCTTCCCAGGGCAGGAGTCCTCACCCCCATGCCCCGACTTCTGCCTGCTCTGCCTGGCTGGGCCCAGTCCTTGCAGGAAACCAGTTCAGGACAGTGGCTCTGGGCGGGGCGGTGCTGGGTGAACTGGGTGGGGATCCTGGGAGGTGGAGAGATACAGGAAGCCTGGTGGCAGGAGGGAGGGTGATGTGAGGGCACCTGGAGGCCCTGGGGGAGCTAACGCTGCCAGGCGTCGAGGCAGGGTGGAGGTGGAAGGTCAGGGCACTTCCGCAGCCTGGGCAGATGGGCGGGGCTCTCAGCCTGTGCCGCTCAGCAGACCCTGAGTCAGCCCTGGGCGTGCAGGTTCAGTCCATCGGGACGGGACAGGCCCTGGCGTGACTGGAACAGACTCTGGGTTTGGGGGTCACCACACCCTCCTGGAGACCCCCACCCTTACTCTGTCCTTGCCTTGGCACATACGTGGTGTGGTAATTCCTCTCCGCGGGGGTCACAGAGTAGGTTCATGCCCACGATTGCATCTGCTGCCTTTTGGGGGCAGTCAGGGGTGAGGTCTCTGAGGACAGGTAGGGAAACGGAGATAAGGGAAGCCTATCCCTTCTACAAAGCCCCGCCTGGGGTGGGCAGGCCTCGAGGGATGACCTGGCAGTCAGGGCAAGTGCTGCCTGCCACGGCAGAGTGCCCAGAGCCCATGTCAGCAGGCCCAGGGACGCCCCGCTGGGCACACCCTGGCTCTGTTGGGGGCAAACACAGGCTCCTAGGAACAGGCGTGGCTTGTCGTGGGCCAGTGGGTGTCCAATGACCCCAGGGCCAGGGCTAGTGCCAGGCCACTCCTGGGAGCAGCAGCCAGCCCAGGACACTGAGCCTGGGGCCTGCTGACCCACAGGCCTTCCCAGTTCTGGGGAGCCCAGGACGATGGCCCCGGAGAGACCCCAGTCTGTCCTCCCCATCACAGTTGAAGTCTCAGGATGTCAGGCTGCACGGGCACGTCGTGAGAGGTTGGGGACAAGAAGTCCTCCTGCCCTTTCTCCAGCTTCAGCCTGGGATTTCCACAGCAAAGGCATCCAAGGAAGGCTGGACAAAGGGGAACAAACGGAAGCTGGTACAGTCAGGCCGGGGCTCTGCACAAAGGCAGAGCCTTCAGGTCCAGGCCAGGGTCTGCCTTGCCATGGGAGCCACCAGCCAAGGCTGACCATGAGGCTGGCTGCTGAGGAGGGACCAAACATCAGGGCCAGCCCCGCCCTTCCTGGAGAGGGACTGGGACCTTCCCTTGGGGCTGCCTCGGGCTGCAGGTGGATGCCAGGCCCCTCAGCATGGTGTGCAGGGCAGTCCGGAGGCTGCTGCCCTCTCACAGGGCTTCCTCCTCTTGCACAGACGCACCGGTGCCTCCAGCCCCACCGGTCTCCCTCCTCTCCTTTCCTGGCCCCTGCTGGCCCAGTAGATGGGTCTATGGATCTTGCCACAGGGGGCCTCTCAGGGTCTGCTTGTCCCAGGCAGCCCGGCCCTGAGCCCTAAGTCCTGTCACCATCCCCCCCGTGCTGAGCCCCCGGGCAGCCGCACTCGCTCTGTCTTTCCTACCTCATGGAGATAAGTGATGGGAAGAAGAGCCAGGGTTGAGTGTGTGCCACAGGACAGCTCTGCTTAGGCATGGCTCCCACCACAGCCCCTCAGGCCAAGCTCCAGGGTCCTCATGTCCAGCTGGCAGGCCTCTCTCTGCCAGGCACCCCTCGGCTGCCCTGCTCCTCTAAAAGCAGAGCTGAGGCACCTGAGCTCAGGGAAGGCCATGGGCACGTCCATCCTTCAGCCACCACTCAGGGTCCTCTAGGGGCTGCAGAGTCCTGCATTTACCTAAGATGCCCACTGCTGCCCCTACAGGTGGAGAGGAAGCCCAGGCCTGCTGCTCCTAGGAAAGGAGCCCTCTGCATGGCCAATGGGCTGAGCCACATGCTGTGAGCTGCCATGGGCGGTCACCCATGTTGCACACTGCACAACTCTGGGGGGTGCTGTCACAGAGCCATGGCATGAATGGTGGCCCCTAGAGGTATAGCAGCTGCAGGGACACATCATGCCACCTTTCCACTGTTTGCCAGGTCAGGGACAGTAGATTAAGGTACACCCCCAACTCTCAGAAGCACAGTGAGGCAAGGGTGCAAGTGAGAGAGAAGATACAAAGATGGACGGTGCAGAACACCTGCCTTGAGTGACCTGTACCCAAAGGCTCAGATCAGGCTGGGGGCCCAGAGTTAGGGGTACCCAGGGAGCCTGGCGGCCCCCTGGCACTTTCTACCTGCCTCCAGGTTTCTCCTGGGGTCTTCCCCTCTGTGGTGGAGCTGTGGGTCAGGACACTGGAATTTCCCCACCACTCTCTGCCTAGTCTGGCTGGTCACTCAAAGTCCCTAGGGGACATCCCTGCCAGCTGCCTCCCTGGTGGCAGGGAGTTCAGGAAAAGAGGCTGTCTCCATACTGGATGAGGGAAGAGGGGACAAGGCCCACTCAGCAACGAGACACAGCTCTGACCCCTGCTTTGTCCCTGTGGGTCTAGCCAACTCACCCCTCTGGGGGCCAGGGAAGGCACGGTCCTGTGGCCAGCCCTGTCCCCACTGCCCCACTCAGGACCCTCCCCTCCAGGAGGCTGTGCGCACCCTCAGACCACCCACAGCACATCTCGGGGCCGCTCCTCAGTCCTCCCACCATCGCTGCTCCCTCCAGGCATTTTATATATGTACCTATATTTATAAGTAAATATCTCTCTACATCTCTCTCCGTATCATCTAACTATCTATAGTCTGCCAGGGCTGCCAAAACAAAATACACAGCCTGGACAGCTTCAACAATGGAATTTTTTTTCTTTTTTCTTGGAGACAGGGTCTCACTCTGTCGCCCAGGTTGGTGTGCAATGGCCTGATCTTGGCTCATGGCAACCTCTGCCTTCTGGGTTCAAGCTGTTCTCCTACCTCATCCTCCCCAGTAGCTGGGATTACAGGCACCTGCCACCATGCCCGGCTAATTTTTGTATTTTTAGTAGAGACTGGGTTTCACTTGGCCAGGCTGGTCTTGAACTCCTGACCTCAAGTGATCCACCCGCCTCAGCCTCCCAAAGTGCTGGAATTACAGATGTGAGCCACCGCACCCACCCGCTCCCCTCCAGGTGTTAAGGACCCGGCCCCTGCAGTCCTCCTGGGCAGGCAGGTGTGGCCTCCTGCATTTGACCTGTGGCTCCTCCAAGCCCTCTCCTCTCCCAGCGTCACCCTGGTTGGGCCTCCACAGGCACTGGGAAGGTGAGGTGTGGGCTGAGCTGGCGTGGAGTGGCCACTGAGTAGCTGGGGACTCCTTGGAGGCAGCCAGGGGAGGGCTGTGCTGTGACCTGGCGCTGGGCTGAGGGGCAGGGCCAGTTCCGGGGGCCTCTGCCCACCTCCTTGCCTCTGGGTTGCCACCCCGCAGCTCCTCCCCACCATGCCAGCACCACACTCCTCCCCACCACGCCGGCGCCACGCTCCTCCCCACCATGCCGACGCCACGCTGCTGACACCTGCAAGGCCTCTCCACACACAGGCTTTGTCCTTGCTCCTCACCTCCACACTGCCCAGATGGTGCATGCCCTGCCCCTGCACTGAGCTTGTCACCCACACGTGTCCCAGCCTTGCCCTCCAGCCATCGTCCTGCTCCTGTCCACCCTGTCCCTAAACCCTTGGGATGCCACCTGCCGTCTGCCTGGCTTGGGGGCTGTCCATTGACCTTTGACCTGCCAGGGCCCCCTCCACTCCCGGCCCACTTGGCCACTGCCCTGCAGTCCACAGGCCCCTTAATGCCATGGATGACTCCTCTGGCCACAGCGTCTGCTTGGCCCAGTGTTCCCAAGGAGGCCCCTTTCCCTCCTGCGATGCAGCTCCCATCGTCAGCCCTACCTGCAACAGCACCTGGAACAAGGCCTGCTACCTCCCATGCTCCAGAACCTTCTCCCTACAGCATTAGCGGACTGCATCTCCGATGGTGCCATGCCCCACGCCACTGCACTCTACCCGCTTCCCCCTCAGCCCTAGCTGTGCCAGGCCCACGCTATACCACCTCCTGGTTAAGCTCTCATGCAGGCTTGGGGAGGAGGGGACAGTGGAGTGGTTGTTTGCACCTCTGCCCCTGGAATGGGAGCAACCAGCTCTCCTGCCTCTGTGTCCATCCCCAGCCCTGGCCCAGGGCCTGGCTGTCAGCGAGCTCACACCAGACAGTGAAGCGAGCAGAGTGGCGAGCGCCGGGGGAGGCCGACGGTGCTTCTCAGAGGCTGTGAGGCTCCTGGGGCCCAACCTCTTGGCACTGGCACCCAATGGCAGTTTGTATGACAACTATGCCCGGCACAGAGCAAGGGGCCCTGGCACCCAGTGTGCACGCACCTGTGACTACCAGTGTGGTGCGGTGGGTTCAGCCATTTACACTGTTTCACTCCCTTCTGGGCTCTGCTTGCAGGCTCCCACCATTCACTCATTCCTTCAACCCAAAGGAATTGTTCTCTGCCCCTTTTGGTAGTGGGGTGAGGCCTGGGACAGAACCGACAGGTATGCAGGCCTCGGCTGCCTGGGACTGGTGTTCCCGCAATGAGGCAGGGCTGTGTTTAACTGCAGGGACCCTCTGTCCTGGAGCCATGGCCCAGTGACCAGCACCATCACCAGTGCAGAGGTGGGGTAGGAGGGAGACCCCTTTCTGGAAGCAACCCCAGGCACTCCCCGGCCAAGGCAGCGGCCCCTCTGACTCCCAGAAGTTCTCTGGTGCACCCTGGAGCCTGAGGCAAAGCGTTACCTGATGGCCCCTTGGAGAGAGCGCCCAGAGCCACGACAGCCACAGCACAGGGGCCCTCAATGCACAGGATGCCAGCTCCCACCTGGCGCTGCCACACCACAGAAGACACTGTGGGAACAGCCTGTGGTCTCACACCTCTGCATACATGGCCACAGCTTTCCACCCCTGTCCGCCAGCTGGACATGGGCTCTAGCTAGAGCTGGAGGGCATGGGAGGCTGGGAGTGCACTATGGAGACCCAGGGCAGGCCCCTTCAGCCCATGTATTGGGCATGGCCAGACATAAACAGCCCAGTGCCCTGAGGTCTGCACTGCGGCAGAAGGACGGGGATTCTAAACCAGGCCAGGGCTCACCAGAGCCTTGTGGTCCTGGGCAGGGAGCCCAGTTATCCAGCGGAAGTAGCTTGGAGATGGAAGGAGGAACTAGGGGGTAAAGGCCAGGCACTGCCAGCCTGGGAACGGGGGTAGGGGAGGCCCAGCTGTGCCTGTCCTCAGCTGCCCATCTGAGGGGTACGAGCCAGACGTGCAGGTGGGGCACACAGGGGAAGGAAACGCCATGGACATGAGGGAGGAAGCACAGGCGGAGGTGCCTGGGGACCCCTCGGAAGTAGGATGGGGTGTCCGTGCCCAGAGAGGAGAGAGGGAACACAGGACCCCAGCACAGAGAGGCAGGTGACGTGATGTGGCCGCAGAGCAGAGAGGGCAGACCTGGCTCAGAGGAGACTCAGCCTGGAGGGGAGAGAGGCTCGGGAGTAGCCAGGGGAGCAGGCAAGGAGGAAGATGGCACAGTGGGGCCAGGGGGCATAGTGCAGCCTAACAGACCCAGAGCCACCCTGGAGTGGAGGAAGGACGGCCCAGGTGTGAAGGTGGGGGTGTGGGCACGAGGTGGGGGATGCACAATATAGGCTCAGCCTGGAGAAGGGAGGCTGCCCAGGAAACAGGTCCTAAAGGTGGACTCAAGGCGAGAGACTGTGGGAGGTGAGGACACTCTCAGGGGCCCCCAGGTGCACTCTGACCACAGGCCCCAAACGACCAGGATGGGAAAAGAATGAGGCGAGCCGTGCGGGGCTTTGGGCAGCCCCAGATCACCTCTGGGCAGGGTGGAAAGTCCATGTCCAGGGTGAGCAAAGCAGCGACTCTTGCCAAGTGCCAGGAACCACCAGGGGGTTTGGGAGCTGGGCTCGAAGTGATGGCTCTGCTGGTGCAGAGGGCAGAGCCAGAGCCTGGGTGTGCAGAGGCTTGGGCAGCCAGGGAAGGAGCATAGCCAACACTCAGGGTGGCCCCAGGCCCAGGCGACCCTTCGGGGACTGGGGAGCAGAGCAGGCTGGTTGCCAGGGCTGGTAGCTTCAGCCTTCCGGGCAGCCAGCCTGTCTCCCAGATGCGGCCCAGCCCGCTCTGCCTACTGCATGCACTTTTACCACCTGGACCACTCCGCCCTTGCTCTGTCCTCTGCTCAGCCCCTCGAGTGAGAGGGCAAGGTTTGGCCTCTGTGCGCCTGGAAACCCCCATGTTGGGTACCTTCATCTGGCTTCAGGCATCCACACTCCAAGTAAGAAAAGAGGCAGTCTTCCCTGGGGAGATCCAGCCAGATCCTCACTCTGCCAGCCTCTGACGACATGGGTGGTCAGACATGTATGCATAAGAACAGGGGAGATGCTGGGAGCCCGGTGGCAGGGGAAAGCCCCCACCGCTAAGAGGAGAGATGGCACTGTGAGGTCGGGGATCACTGAGCATTTGCAGAGAGCCTGGGGCTGGGGCCCCAAAGAAGACAGGTCCCTGACCTTCCCTTTGCAGAGCAGCACCCCGCTGAGATCCAGCTCGGTCCCCGCACTCACGGGTGGGGACAAAGGGCCAGGCCCCTGGCTATCATGGTGGGCACGTGGCACCTGTGGGGGCTCCAAACATGGCAGTGACTCTCATTCCTCCACACTTGAGCCTCCGTTCCCCTGTGAAGGAGCTCTTCAGGATGCTCCTGCCTCACTGGCTTTTGAGGAGGCTGGAGGGGGACAGCTGTGGGCTCCAGGGACAAACCTCTTTTATTCCCACCGGCTTGGAGAGCCAGGCGCTCTCCCAGGCTGTGGGGTGGCCTGGCGGGGGCAGCCTGGTGGCCCGAGTGTGGGATGGGCTCCAGCCTGCTGCGCCCTCCGCGCTCCTGTCTGCAGCTGCGAGTGAGCGGGGCTGTGGGGGGACAGGGCGGGGGCACAGCAGGGAGGGCCCAGATCCAGAACCACCTCCACAGCTGGCAGTGGAGCGGGATGAACGCTTGTAGAGCAGCTGTGGCGGCCCCAGCCCGCCCTGCAGAAGTGCACGGCGTCCACCGGAGCCGGCAGCTCATAGGGAGGGGCCTGGGCCTCATGGGAGCAGAGGTCTGAGGAGGGTGGGGAGCCGCGGCTGCCCCACGCTGAGGGCGCCCGGGAGGGTGAAGAGCGGTAGAGCGCTGGACACGCCCCCTGGCGGCCGGGGACGAGGTGGCGGGGCAGAGGCAGCGTGGAGGGAGCATGAGCGGAGGACCACCTCTAGGACCTGGGGGATCTCCGGAGCGAGAGACGAGCTTGCCTGCTGCTTAGGACGGAGAGCGAGTTGGGGAGGTCCCCCACCGTTCCAGGAAGAACTTTCTAGGAAGCCACAGTCCCTTCCGGCAGGATGGGCTCAGACAGACCTGAGCCACGCAGGGTGCTGGGCTGACTCCCTTTTCTGACAGGGATCGTCGCGAGCCCCAGCCCTCCTCTCCGGAGCTCAGGAAGGAGGCCACAGAACCCGGAGAAGGGGCTGTGCAGGGGCCCTTGTTCCATTATTGGCAACAGCCCCAGGCGGACTCCAAACCCCAGACGCATGCGTCCCAAAGTAGACCCCTTTGTGCCTGGAGCTGTAAGTCAGCCCATGGGCAGCAGACTTGGCTGCCCTGGCATGGGGCAGGCAGCTCCAGGGTGGCAGCCGAGAGTGCCCAGTGTCCAGCTCAGTCAGAACAGATGGGGGCGCTGAGAGCAGCCGCGGGCTGTCAGAGGCCCCGCCCTGGGCCCTGGGGGACAAAGCGGGTCTGGCCTCCTCGGTGGCACTGCCAGCCACCAGGTCACCCTGGCCAGAAGTCTGTGGCCCTCCCTCTCCCATGTCTGGCTAGGATCATCCCAAGCACCCTCCCTCAGGCCCGGCCCCAACTGCCCCCCAGGACGGCCTGGCCCCCTTCCACCTCTGCCTCTCCTTGGCTGACTCACCGGGGTCAACCCCACCCAGCAGGCAGCTTTCACCCCCTCCACCACCTGCCGACCATGCGGGGAGCCAGCTAAGCCCTGTCCCAGACCCAGACAGGCCCCAGGTGATCACTGCAAATGAGGAAGGGGGGGTGTCTCGAGGGTCCTCAAACCACCCTGGGGCTGGGTCCTCCGGTTACCCCATGGAGGGTCCAGCGTCACGCCGATGGCATGCGCCACCCCCTGAGGATCGGGTGTCCCCAACTCAGCGACTTGTATTTATAGCTGTGCCCTGGCCCGCTGCCCAGATGGTAGAGGAGGGGTGGGTGGAGGGAGGGCGGTGTGTGTGGGTCGGGGGTTGTGTGAGTGGTGCGTGTGCGTGCATGGGTGGGGTGGCCCTGGGAAAGGTGCTCCCGGAGGGAAGGCATCCAAGCGGGTGAGTGACCGGCCAGGGCATGGGAGGACAGGGGCCGTCTGGGTCCGGGGAGGGGGGCTCGCTGGGCGGTGGGGGAGGGACCCGGCGCCCCAGCCCGCACCTGGCAGCGGCTGATGATGTCGGCGTCCGTGGCCAGCAGGTCCACCACCTTGCCTTTGCCCTCGTCCCCCCACTGCGCGCCCAGCACCACCGTCACGCGGGAGCCGGTCGCCGCCGCCTCCTGCTGCAGCCGCCCCCGCTTGACGCCGCCCGCGCCGGGGGGCCGGTCGTTGGAGGCTCGGGTCCCGGACATGCTGGCTCGGCTCTTCCGCTGCGCTGGCCCGGCCCGGAGCCCGCCGCCGCCGGCGTCCGCGCCATTAAATGGAGCGGGGCCGGGGCAGGGGGCGGGCCGGGGGCGGGCCAGGGCGGGCGCAGTGACGCCCCGTTGACCTCCGGCCGCCAAATCCCCGCCCCTTCGCAGCCGCCCGGGAAGCCCAGTTGAGTCTCGAGCACTTTAGAGGTGAGGGGGCGCGTAGACCGACGGCCAGGCCGGCAGATGGCCTGGGGCGCCCCACGACTTTGCCAACGGAGGCAGTTTCTCGCTAGGCCGTCGGGGACCAGGGCTTGTGCACCGCGACCTCACCCCGCCAGGCCCCTGCCGGGCCCAGGACTTCGGGGTTCCAGCAACTGCGGAGGTGGTCGTCCCCTCCAGGGAAGGAGTGCGGTTTGCAAAAGGGGATCTGCGTCCTGCACCCCATCTGGAGGGTCCGCACTCTCGGGGAGCGCACCTGCCCCGCGCGGAACCCCGAGTCCCCGGGGCGCGCGCGCGCGCCCTCTGGCGGCCGCGAAGAGCCGCGCAGCGCGTGTGTCCCAGCAACTGCCCGCACCTCGGCCCCACGGCAGGGACCCCGCGTCCCGCCTGGGAGCGCTGTGGCTCGGGCCTGGCTGTAGCGAGCAGGCGGGCTCCAGCATGGAGCTCCGGCCCTCAGCACCCAAGTCTGGGGTAAAGGGACCCATGCTGTCAGCGTCACCTGGCTGGCATGGGAGCAACCCCCAGGGATGCATACCAACGTGGGGCCCAGGTTTCCAAGAGGCCTCACCCCAGACCTTCCCGTCCCAGCCTGTGGAGGGACCAGGCCACAGAGGGAGGCGATGGTCTGCGAGGCTCCCGTGTTCCCGGCTGGTTGTCCTGTCTCGCCTATCCCGCCCCACCCCTCCCAAGTGGATGAGGCTTGGAGGAAGCCAGCCCTGGTGGCCAGGAGAAGGGTCCTGGGGCACCCGGGGGAAGAAAGGAGAATCAGGCTCTTGCTTCAGAGCAGGGAGGCGGGGCCCTTGGTTCCCTCCCTGAGGGCTCTCAGTTGCCAAAGAGCCTAGAGCCACGAGGCTCCTTGGGCTCAGGGCAATTCCAAGTCTAGTGACAGGGAGCCCATGGAGACACTCCCTATGAGGAAGGAGTGGAGCTTGGGCCTGTCACAGCAAAGGTCGCTCACAATGAGTTAGCGATTCAGGGGCAGCCAAGGACACCACTGCCCACCCTTGCCTTCAGTCTCCCCACCCCTCCTCTCTGGGCGCCTGACCCTGCCCCAGCCTGGGGGAGAGGGGCTGTTCAAAGCCTGGCCTCCCACCCCCTGCAGCCATGTCCCCAGTCCCCTCTTCTTCCACTGGGCACACTGATACTTCCTCTCCCTCAGCATCCTCGCGGGGAAAATGCCACTGTGTGGGTTCCAAGCAGTCAGTGCGGCCTCGGTGGAAAGGCAGTCTTCATGCATGAACTTCCCAGTGCCACCCTGGCGGTGACAGTGCCACCCTGGGGGTGACAGCTGGTGTCACTAAGCAGACTACTGCCCCCAGCTTGGGAAGGGGCTGGAACAGGGCTGGAGGGCTCTGAGGTTTGGCAGAACCTGGAGCCTTCTGAGAAGGGGCTGCACCCAAGGGTGGGACAGTGGGTCTGGGGGTGTCAAGGAGGGAATGTGGGGCACAGCAGATAGCTGTGCAGGTAGGGAAGAGGCAGACTGCAGCAGCAGAAACCAAGAGGGTCACAGGAGGTTTGTTTCCAGATGACAGAAACTGAGTTTTAAATGCCCACCAGGAACCACAAAGCCCCATCAGACAAGGGGGTGCTCCCAAGGCCTGGCAGGGGCCACCAGCTCTGAGCCCTTCCTGGGGACACTTGGAGCTCTGGGCTAGCAGATGTCAGACAGAGGCTTGGGGGACTGGGGGACATACTAGACCACCTCACTAAGGGGGCTTGGACTGACCCTGCAGAGGCAAACGCTAGTGACTCACTGACTTCTCCAGGCCTGGACTATAAATAGCCACCGGCCCGGGTGGGGGCAGGGAATTGGGGCTTTTCTAAAAACAGCCCTGCCCACGCCCAACAGCTGGGGCCCCTGCCAGTCACACAGCCCAGCCCGAATTATAACACCCCCACCCCCCACCCCCCACAGTGGGCCTGTCCCCAGGTGGTGGACAGCACAGGAGCCACCGAACTTAGGGCCATCCATCTGGGCCCTGCTGTCTCGACATGTGACCTTGGGCAGGAACGAGGGTGCATGGGCGTGTCCACCTGTGGGTTCACTCTTTGGGGGCCACCTCCCTGTGGGAACATTGCACACAGTGGCCCAGGACACACAGATACCCACCTGCAGCCACGGAGCCTCACCATGCAAGGCACCCCCAGAGCTCCTGTCCGTTTTGGTTCCTTTGCTGGCTGTAGCCCACTAAACTGACTTCTCATGGAGCAGAGAGGAAAAAGAAAAACCAGGCTCCGGAGAGGCAGCTCCTCCTCCTGTCACAGGGTCCCCAGTCCCACCTCTCCAGGCAGGCGGGGCGATGGCCTCAGTTGCTGCAGGTCACCCTGTAGGTGATCCCGCCCAATACTCCATAGTCCAGTTTTACTGGCAGATCTGTGAGGGGTGGGGAGGGGGAGGCGTTGAGCTATTTAACTTAAAAACAATAGCACAGATGGGAATGAAAAATGGTGCAGCTGCTTTGGAAAACAGTTTGGCAGTTTCTTAAAAAGTTAAACATAAACTTAGCATGTTGCCCAGTTGTTCCTCCACTAGGAAACTACCCCAGAGAAATGAAAACTCGCATCCACACGAGGACTATGCAAATGTTCACAGCAGCAGGATTCGCAGAAGCCCCAAGCTGGAAGCAACCCAGATGCCCGTGGACAGAAAAGCAAACACAATGTGGTCCATGCATGCAATGGAATGTGCTTCAGCCATGAAATGCAGTGACGTCCTCATACAGCCTGCAGCGAGGATGGAGCCTGAAAACAGTCGAAGGAAGCCAGGGGACATGCATGACGACATCTGGAGCGTCCGGAGCGCAGGTGAATGACTGCCAGGACTGGGGAGGAGCGCAGGCAAGGGGTCAGACTGATGGGAGCCAGAGGACTTCTCGGGGTGATGGAGAGATTCTCAAAGTGCATCATTGCACAACCTTGATCTGCTGGAAAGCAAACACCACCACAGCACACACATAACCAGCGAGTCTGGTGGTTTGTAAATTACGCCCCTGTAGAGCGGTACCCATTTCACCACTGTTGGGTGCTGTTCACCACGGGGTCTGCCCTCTTCTAGATGTTTCTCACTGCCTCCTGAGGGCTTCAGGGACAGCCCCTGGCCTGGGGGACTGGGGTCCCCTCAACAGTGAGTGTTCACACGGGGCCTGTCCGGCGCTCACCACATTTTTGGGAGCCCCCATCCACCCACTCCCGCAGCCTCTGAACGCAACAGTCACACACCGGGCTAGGTCTGCTTTTTATTGGCCACACGTCCAGCTGCCAGCCTCAGGGCACACACCTGGCAGGCGGCAGGCTCGGGCAGGCTGCCCTCGCTGGGTGGGCAGTAAGGGGGCAGAGGCTGCTGGGTGTCACCCTGCAGCCCCTCAGGTGGACCTGTATTGTCCCCAGGGCCCACCATCCTGGGCAGCTGGCACTGGGAGGGTTTCCGTTGATGTGATGGCCAAGTTTCAGCTGTAGGGCAGAGGCCTGGTGGTGGCAGCAAATGCGGCCGCTCCCCACTCCAGCTTCAGGGGCTGGACATGCTGGGATGGGGGCCAGACCCCACGGGAGGGGACCCTGGCCTGCCGTGGCACTGCCTGCCGGCCTACCCCTGCCCAGGGCCCCCAACTCAGCCACCTCCGAGCAGTAAAGACTCGCAAAGCATTGCGTTTTGATTAAACCCTGCTGGGCTGAAGGGCAGGCAGAGCTGTGGTGGACACTGGCAGGATGCAGCCCCCCCGACTGGCCCTTGGCAGGCTGCACCGGGTGCATGCGGGTGTGGGCCAGGGTCGCCTTTAGGAAGCAGGTAGGAGGCTGGCGCGTGCAGGCAGTCCAGGAGGGCACTAGGCCTGGCAGGGTACTGGTGCCTGTCGGGGTCCCAGCCACAACACCCAAAGAAGGCTCCGGGAGGGCCCCGGCTGGGTAAGGCACGGACTTTCGGTTTCCGGGGCCCAGTCCCAGCCTGGCCCCCAGAAGAGCCTCTGTTGGCAGAATGGCAGCATGTCCTGTGGCCTGGGCTCTCTCACTTGGCCTTGGGCCTGGGCCTGAGGCCTGTAAGGAGAGAGAAGAAATGACATTATTAGGAGCAGCTTTGCTGGGTACAATACCAGGTGCCCGCTTCTGGGTCCCCAGGTCCCTGAACCCCTCATCACCCTGTCCAGCGGGCTGTGCCATGCATCTCAGGTCCACTCTGACCCCAGGCTCTTTCTCTGGAGCAGCACAACTTATCTAGGTGGAAGATGCCGGGATGGCCTGGCCAGGCTGGGTTTTGGCAAGGTGTGGCAGCCTGAGCCTGTGTCCTCTCTGCTGAGATGGGGAGTCTCTGTGGCCTATCCCCCACCCCATGTCTCAGACCCAGGCTGCACTCTGTCGTTACTCTTTAATCCCCACTGCCACCACCTGCAGCCCTCCATCGCTTCCACATCGGGCCCCAAGCCCCACACGAGGACCCCAGCAGCGCTTTCTCCAGCAGGCTGCTGAGGGCGCTCAGCCCTGGCCCAACAGCTCCTGCCACCCAGATGGCCCCAGAGATGGCCCCACAGGCCTCCTGCCCCCAACACCCTCTTCACTCTCTGGTCCTGGGG